GAGGGCGGGACGGGGCGGGGTCGGCTCCCCTACTGCCAATATTGACGCTTCGTGCCGGGGCATCAATTGTCGAATCGCTGCCGCAGATCGGCGCCAAGATGCGCCCCTCGCTCAAGAAGGCCATGTTTCACCTGGCGTGGTCCCCGGACTCGCTGCCCACGGCGGACTCCATCTCCCCGCTGCTGCAGTACCTGGACTGCCACCTGCAGAGCTTGAACGCGGCGCTGCTGCCCAAGAACTTCGAGCGCGCGCTGTCCGAAGTCTGGGAGGTGGTGCTCCTCGAGCTGGGCCACCAGATGGACGGCTCGTCGGGCGACAAGCTGCCGGGCTTCTACGACCGGCTGCACGAGGCCCTGGGTATCCTGCTCGCCTTCTTCCACGCCGACTCGCTCGGCCTGCACCTCGAGGCCCTGCGGACGCCCACGTACTTTCGTGTGGACCAGCGGCTGCAGTACCACCGCACGGACACGGAGAGGCTCATGGACCTGTACCACCAGCAGCGCCTGGGCGCCCAGCTCGGCTGCGACTCGGCCGAGTACGGCGTGCTGTCCGTGCGCGCCTACTTCAACCACGACTCGCTCTGCGTCGAGGTGCTGAGCGCGCGGGACGTCATCCCCCTGGACCCGAACGGTGAGCGTCCGGAGGGCGAACAACACCTAACAACACCACCACAATGGCTGCCGGCTTCCGGCCCGACCAAGTTGCCAGTGGAGCGAAGCATAGCTGGCAACGAGGTTTGGCGGAAGAACGGATCTAGCTTGATGTTGCTGTTTGTTTTTGTCATCTAGCTGCTAGCTCGATTGGTACAGAGTAACGCTCAACTGGACTACATATTCGCGTCCCTCGGTTTTCCAGGTTTTAGCGACCCTTTCGTCATCGTGGAGCTGATTCCACGACGCATGTTCCCCCACTGCGCAGAGCAGACGACGCACGTCCACAAGAAGACGCTCAACCCCGTCTTCGACGAGTGCTTCGAATTGTACGTGGACAACTGCGCCGTGGATGGTGAGACCCCCCAGCAAGCTAACGCAGCATTGACCCCCTCTTTCTGCGCAGCTCGGTGACGCTAGAACAGTGCCGCTCCGAGGGCGCCATGATCCTGTTCACCGTCATGGACCACGACGTCCTCACGGCCAACGACTTCGCAGGAGAGGCCTTCCTGGCGCTGTCTTCGGTGCCCGGAGTAGCGGACACCAACTCGTCCATTGACAACTTCCACGGCCTGAAGCAGGCCGAGCTACCTCTGATGCACCAGAAAAATAGGAGTGAGTTGATCGCCGCCTTTTACTGTCTGATCTCGACTAGTTTTACCACAGACAGTAGCAGGCCTCCCGGACCGCTCCGGGTCTGGCCAGAGGAGTCGAGCAATTTCCTCCGTGGAGAGGGGGGGGGGGAGACTTTACGGATACCATTGGTTTGGTCCTTGGCGGTCCCAGTGTCGTTCTTTCCACTTGAGAGCCCAAGCGCGACAGCGAGGTGGGAGTAGCGGGGCTGGCGAGCGGGCGCAAGGGAACTCACCCCCCCCC